TGTCGGCGGGCCTGGTTCAGCCTAAGTCATGTCGTACACTGGAGAAGGTATCTTGATATTCTGTGAGCAAGTCCTGTAAACAAAAGTGTTCATCAGCTGTAAGACATCCACAGCTTTAATTATACAGTTCTTGTAAGTGAGATAGTGAGCTGTCTTTAATTGAGGATTAGATATCAGACTTCTTATATCTTTCCTTAAAGGTGACTACTTCTGATGTTCTTTGATGTGGAAGTACTTCCTGTACAGCTTCAAATCTTTCAGTGTACTGTCCAAACGTGACTTGACTTTTATGGTTTGTTGTGTTCATGATTCTTGCAATGACATCTTTAATTGTCAGATCCAGAGAGTTCTTCCAACCATCGAGCCTTCAGGATATGCTGAAGTGTTTGTTTGAGTCACTTATTGATGGTACAATAACTGCCCTCCTTGTTAAAATAATAAATAACACACTATGTTAAAATAGGTACACAATTAAAAACATTTAAATCAAGGCCAATCTATGACCACTAAAAAAGTTGACTTTACATGTTTCAACGTTGCAACGTCATCTTCAAGAGTCCTTGCCGTAGGTCCCGTTTTTAGACTCATGAGTATTATTTATTGGCACTTTTGTATAATGTTAAAATAATAAATAACACACAACGTTAAAATAGGTACACAACTGAAACATTTTAATTAAGGCCAATGTATGACCACTAAGAAGTTGGCTCTACATGTTTCAATGTTGCAGCTCCTGAAGATGACGTAGAGGTATAGTATTTTTAGCTGAACTTTACCTCATAGATCTAGCTATTTTCTATTTTCTCCAATGTTTGATTAACTCTTTATTGTTCTTATAATTACGGTGGGCTCAAAAACCCATCCTTATGGTATTAGCCCCTTGGTGTATTAACACTAGTTGATTCCTCACCGTCTTGGCTGCAATAACCATGTTTCCCACATTTATAACAGGTTCCTTTTCTGACATACATTGGGAGGAGTTTTTATTCCATGCAGGCTTTTTTCTGCAGTTCTTGGCAATATGATCTCTCGAGTTACACTTGCAACACCTGCTGTCTTGTGGTTTATTTCCTTTATTCTCTGTTACTAGTTGTCTGACTAATACTTTCAGTTCTTCTAGACTATCTTCAGGAGGAATTGATGTTTCAATACTACTCTGGTGAGTGCATAACTTTTAAATGGTGCCTGCATCATCATATTGTTATTATAAGCTCTTTAGCAAACAAACATTCAAATTAAAATACATCTTATAACAAAGAGTTTGCTAAACATTTATGGAATGTTGCAATTTCATAAAATTTAAATA